AAGTCTCGGCTCAGGTGATCTGCCCGCGAATTCCGGGCACCTGGTAGGTGGTAGGCCTGTAGGCAAATGTCGTGGGCTATCCAGAAGTCCCATAGCCTGAGGGCTTCTTGGCAGAGGGCAGAGGAGCGGGCCCTGCCTTGCCTGTTGATGTAAAACCTCGAGGCCATTTTGTCTGTGAGAACGCTGACCACTCTGCTCTCCAGGTGCGAGCGAAAGGCCATGCACGCCAGCCGGACCACCCTGAGTTCCTTGACATTATTATGCAGGGCAAGGTCCTGCGCAGACCACAGACCTTGGGTCTGAACGTCCCCCACATGGGCTCCCCAGCCCAGGTCCCAAGCGTTGGACACCAGCTCCACCAACGGGGGCCTGCCCCTGAATGGGACCCCACAGAGCATTTTCCCGGGAAGGACCACATTGTAGGGAGGCAATCACCAGTTCGGGCACAGGGAGGACTTTGTCCATCCTGTCTCTGGCCTGGGAGAACATCGAGGCCAAACAGAACTGGAGGGGCCTCATCCTGAGTCTGGCGTGGCGAACCACATATATGCATGCCAACATGTGACCCAGGAGCTGGAGACACGCTCTGGCTGTTGTTACGGGAAACCTTATGACTGTGTCGATAAGCCCTTTCACGGTCTCAAATCTGTCCAGTGGGAAGGAGGCCCTGGCTGACGTGGCATCCAAGACTGCCCTGATAAACTCTATGCACTGTACCGGGACTAACATGGACTTGGTGTCTTTCACCAACAGGCCCAGAGTGGCACACATTGACAGGAGGAGCGCCACATGATCCCGCACCTGCGACCGGGAGCTGCCCTTGACCAGCCAGTCGTCCAGATAGGGGAAGATCTGGACCCCATGACGTCTAAGGTAGACCGTCACCACAGACATGCACTTTGTGAATACCCTGGGAGCAGTAGACAGGCCAAACGGAAGGACCGTAAATTGGTCATGTTCCTGCCCAACCGTGAAACGGAGGAAATGCCTGTGCCCCTCGAATACATGGATGTGGAAGTACGCGTCCTGCGGATCGAGGGCGGCATACCAGTCCCCGGGATCCAGGGAGGGGATGATGGAGGCGAGAGAAACCATGAGGAACTTGAGCTTTACTATGTACTGGTTCAGGCTCGCACGTCCAGAATGGGCCTGAGCCCCCCTTTGGCCTTCGGGATAAGGAAATAGCAGGAGTAGTACCCCTTGTGTTTGAACTCCACTGGCACCACTTCTACCGCTCCTAAGCCAAAGAGCCGCCCCACCTCCTGCTCGAGCAGAGCCTCGTGAGAGGGGTCCCCCCGGAGGGACGGGGGCGGAGGGTGGATGGGCGGGATAGAGGTAAATTGGAGGGTGTAGCCCCGGGAGATGGTGTTGAGAACCCATTGGTCCGAGGTCAGCCACGACCATTCCTCGAGAAAAGCACACAACTAGTTGGAGAAGGGAAGCTTTATTGCGGGTGGATCCCTGATGTGAACTGGTAGGTCACCGTTTCCCCGCCTGTTTGCCCTGGGAGGACCCAGGCTGGGGGCCAGACCGGGACTGCCTCTGCAGGTGTTTCTTATAGTCCCGCGACTTTTTATAAGCGGGCTCATATTTTGAGTGGGTGGCATGGGTAGGAGCCTGCTGCGGCTTAAACTTAGGTCTAGCCGGAGCCAGAACATAGAGGCCAAGTGTCTTAAGCATAGTGCGAGAATCTTTCAGGCCGTGCAGCTTCATGTCCATCTGTTCCGCAAACAGAGCCTTTCCATCAAACGGGAGGTCCTGCAAGGAGTTCTGCGCCTCACTGGACAGCCCAGATAGCAGGAGCCACGATGCACTCCTCATGGACACCACAGAGGCCATGGACCGTGCAGCCATATCTGCCGCATCCAACGCTGCCTGCAGGGTTGCCCTGGCAGCCACTGTACCCTCCTCCACCAGAGCTTTGAACTCCTTCCTGTCATGCTCCTGGAGGAAGTCCTCGAATTTGGACAGAGAGCCCCACAGATTGAACTCATACTGACCCAGGAGAGCCTGATGGTTCGCCACCCGTAACTGGAAACTCAAGGATGAATAAACTTTTCTCCCAAATAAATCCAGCCTCCTTGAGTCTTTATTTTTCAAAGTAGGGGCTGGTTGGCTCTGCCGCTCCCTGTGGTTGACTGACTCTACCACCAGGGAGTTAGGGTCAGGGTGGATGTACAAATATTCATGCCCCTTGGCGGGCACAAAGTACTTGCGTTCCGCTCTCTTAGAGAAGGGGGGCAAGGAAGCTGGGGTTTGCCACAAGGCTTTTGAAATTTTTGCCACCCCCTTGTGGAGTGGAAGGGCCACCCTGCGCGGTACCGAGACGGATAGGACATTGAAGAGGGAGTCCAAGGGCTCGTCCACCTCCTCAGCCTGAAGGTTGAGGCTTGATGTCACCCTTTTCAATAGTTCCTGATGGGTTTTAGAGTCCTCCTGCAGAATGGAGGCAGGAGGGGCCATAATCGCCTCATCAGGGGAGGGTGAGGAGGCAGGCGTGGTACTTTGCGCGTCTGCCAGGACCGGAGAACCCACCACTTGGTCGCCCGCCGGGCACGGCACCGAAGATGCACATCCCACTGATTCCTTTCTTGGAGGCTGGGACGGGGAGGCCGACAGCCGTTCCGAGCCTCCGGCCACCAAGCGAGCCTCCACCGGGGGCTGCGTCGGGAGCTATGGGGCCCATTGGTACCACTGTGCCGGCCACAGAGCCCAGTGCCACTGCACCTCTGGCGAAGAGGGCATCCGGACGTCCAAGGAAGCCTGCTCCGAATGAGCTGGGCTATTCCGCTCAACCTGAGTGGGAGGCCTGGAGGCCAATGGGGACCGAGGACTGACCAACATGGGTCTAGCCTCTCCCCCGGTTTTGCTTCGGTGCCATGGCGGACCTCTTCTTAGCCTTCTTGGCGTGCCCCGCAGACAGGAAGCGGTGCCGACTGGTAGGTGGCACCAATGGGTCGCCGCGCACCGACGATGCAGTACCCGGTGCAGACTCGGAGCGGTACGCCAGAGTCAGGGTCAACGCCGACTCCATTTGGATAGCCCGGAGCCGAATGTCTTTCTCTCTTGGTCCAAGGATTGAAAGACCGGCAAATCTTGCAGCGATCGCTGAGATGGGTTTCGCCCAGAAAGCGTAAACAGTTTGTGTGCGGATCACTCACTGGCATCGGTCGCCTACAAGTGTCGCACAACTTAAAACCCGGGGCACGGGGTATGCCCCGGTCCGGGTGCACTAATCTAAACTAATCTAACTACTTCAACAACAGGTACTACTACACTGAACGAACAAGAGTTCTGGAGGAAACTTGCAGACAAGCTGGAGCAGAGCAGTTCCGAAGCACCTTCACTGGCAGCAAGAAGGAACTGAGGGTGGGCGGAGCGAGCAGCGCCCCTTATACCGCGCCAAGGAGGCTAGGGGCGCTCCCCTACAGGTACTGCTAGGGGAAAAACTTCCAGCACCGGTGCATGTGGACAGCACGCACACCTATTGTGGAATACACATGAGCAATCACTCAAAGAAGCAGCGTAGGGTCTGAGGAGAGAGTCTAAACAGCCAGATAATCCTGCTCTAAGAGTGCCAATGCCTGAGATGATGGGGCGTCCAGGATTTCCAGGTTTATGAATCTTGGATAGCAGATAGAATACCCCTGGTTGAGTCTCTAGGGGTGTGTCTGTGTAGATTTGTTCCCGTGCTGTAGCAGGGAGTTTCTTGAGCAGATGGTGTAGTTTCTTTTGGTACTCCTCAGTGGGATCAGAGGATAGTGGCCTGTAGAATGTGGTGTTGGAGAGTTGCCTGGCTGCCTTCTGTTTATAATCCACCAGTTTCATGATGACTACAGCACCCCTTTTGTCAGCCCCTTTGATTATAATGTCAGAGTTGTTTCTGAGGCTGTGGGTGGTATGGTGGTCTGTACAGCTGAGGTTATGGGGCAAGTGATGTTGTTTGTTCACAATTTCAGCCTGCGCACATCTGTGGAAGCACTCTATGTAGAAGTCCAGTCAATGTTCCCTCTCTTGGTATTGACACCTCCTCATCAATTATTGGGAGTGGACCACATCCACCCTGACTGAATTGGCCTTCAACATTGGTTCTCCACTTGTAAGGTAACTCCCTTCTCTTCATGTGCCAATATGTATTTATGCCTGTATCTGCAATTTTCACTCCATGCATCTGAAGAAGTGAGTTTTTTTTACCCACAAAAGCTTATGCCCAAATAAATCTGATAGTCTTTAAGGTGCCACCGGACTCCTCGTTGTTTCTGATGCTATACTGGATTCCCGGGTCTTTCAGATTCAACAGTTTCAGTGTGCCTTTTTCAGGCCCAAATATAGACAGTTTGCATAGTACTTTTACTATATTTCTATTGTAGCAAGTGTTTCTATACCACTCTGATGTCTGGAGTCACTATCAACAATACTATGTACCGCATATCACAGAACAGTTACAAATACACAATATGCAAAAACACCCTCTGAAATGCACCTAGAACAGTGCATGTGTTTATCCAATGTAAATAACTCAACTATTTAAAAAGCTGGAGGATAAAAAGTACACACAAAAAAGTGTGTTTAAGACAGTAATGCATTCAGAGACACTTAGAAATGTAAATGCCTACATAATGTATTATATATATTTCTTCATCCCCCAGCTGGATGTCTGCAACAAATGAAGCTCTTGGGAACAGTTTGTCTTCTTGATCCAGTCTATTTTTATAACACACACCAAGAATAGACACTGAAGGAGCTTCGGTAGTTATCAACATGACATAATGCCATCGAAGGAATGGCTTTAGTGACTATTTTTAATGCTGAGAAGCTCCCATTTTTTATATGATCTTATGTAGATCAGTCTAGTAGGCATTGCTTTGTACACTTCCTTCCTTCCTTCCTCCCCCCAAACAATGTTGTTATTCGAATAACTGACAGCAAGATAAAAGAGACAGGCTTGAGCCTAGCTTAATATGAAAGGAGGAGGATTTTCATGGCATGAAAGTAGTTACCTGATGCAGAAGAGCTTCTCGACTGTCTTCTGACTGATCCAACTTCCTCTGGGACCGCTCCAACTCCTGCTCAAGCTTATAATTTGATTAAGGATGAAGAGACAACGTTACACATTCATCCTGGTACTAAAATATTTTAACTATTTAAAACTAAACTTGTATTTAAAAAATAAAAATAATTTCTTATACTTCTAACCCTGAACATGTAAAGTAAACTGTGTTATAAGATGCTACAAACATATCTACAATTATTACAATGATATAGTTTATAAATTTATCATGCAGTATGTAATCATTTATCTCATATATACTCTGTACTACCACCTGTGGCTACAAAATAGCGTATGCATTCCCAAACTAAAACAATGTTAAAATGGGAGTTAAAACTGAGAGCACATATCACTAATTTAGGATAAACTGCCTTACAAAGATGACGCAATTATCCAAAAAATAAGCATTAAAAACTCAGGAAATTCAGAGTAAAAAGATTATGTTTAAAAGAAATCCAAACATGTTAAAATATGAAAATGCACAGATAGGGCACTCAAACCATTTTAATTCTGCCTTTTAGCCATACCATACAATAACTGTGGAATAATGACTGATATATAACAGAACTTGGTCCGAGATAATATGATACCCATTTTTAAAGAAAGACCGAGGGTAGGGGGAGGGGCTCCATTTTTTTCTCTTCGTGTTGTCATTAAACTGTTTTGTTACCTTGACTGTGCAATTCCATACTATGTGGTAGATAACAACAAAATGCTGAACTGGTTTTAGTCAAGCTTTAAAAAAAGTACTGCTCCAACATTTTAGACTGAAAGGTAATAGACTGATAGTGTTATATGATCTGAAAATGACTTTTAAAAATGAAAATTCTTGTTGCTGCATGCTTCATTTATAAAAACTTTAAAAAGTGCATATAGTTGATGCTTCGCCTGATGGCTAGCACTTTATGGGCACTACCAGAAATAATAAATCAAATGGATGTTCAATTTCCATCAGTACTAATGCATTTAATCTTCTGTGCATGGTGCAGTTAATTCATCCCTGTAACTACTCTATTGAGACCCTCTCTGGAGGCAAAGTTATTTTTGGATAGAGAAAATTGTATTTGCATAAATGGCAGCATGGAGGGTGGCACAGAAAGGTTTATCAGAGAAGCTGATAAATGGGCACACAAGCCTGGTATTAATGGCAGAGCAGAGTAGGTAGGAGACTGTGAAACAATACATGGGTGGATATAGCAGGAAAGAGCAAAGCTTTGAAAGTATTGATAACAAATCTGAACTTTATGCAGTGGAGAAAGGGTAGCCAGTGGAGAGATACAAAAAGGGGTGGCATGGTCAAAACTACTGGCAAAGAAGCTAATCTTAGCAACAGCATTTCTATGGACTGTAGGAGAGTTATATGGGTGTCAGAGAGGCCAGGCAGAGGAAGAGGAGATTTTAATAATCAAAATGGGAAATAATCCAGATGAGAGAGTGAGCTGCAAGGACGTAAAGAATATGTTAGATCTTAGAGATGCTGTGAAGTAGGAAGCCAATAACTTTGTACATGGTTTAGCTGTGTGGGGCAAGGTGAAGGGAAGTGTCAAAGTAATCCCTAAGCTACAGGTTTGACTGACTGGGAGGTTGCTGGTGTTGTCAACCATAACAAAAAGGAAGGGTAGAAGTGAGGGCTTTGGAGGGAAGACGAAGAGTTCAGTTTCAGCCGTGTTTGCAGTGTATGGTGCTAAAAAGTACCTTGCCATTTTAAAAACTAAAAACATAGTGTTTCACACTGCTAATGCCTCTTACAAAAGAAGCAAGATGTGGCCTTAAACAAAACATAAGAACTGAACGTTCTAGACCAGTGTTTCTCAATGACAGTCTGTGAACCGGCACCAGTCCCTGAGATCTCCCTGACACAGTTCAGGAAGGCAGCAAGCCAGTCCTTGGTATCAAAAAGGTTGAGAAACATTGTTCTAGACCACAAGCAGTTGGAAACTATCACAACAGAAAAAGACTACACTGAAAACTGATTTTAAAAAATAATTTAAAAAAAGAAAATTAAATTCTTACTTTGCTCTTTTCATTTTCAGATTTCAAAAGTTTATTTTTCATCAGTCCTTCCATTTCATCAGCTTTAGCATCTCGTTTCCTTAAAGCCTTAAAAGGGGAAAATATTGTGAACTTTATTACAGCAGAGTTACCGAATCCTCATTTATAAAATCTGCTGAAATGTAAAATATCAGCTGGTACATTTATTAAGAAAAAAATATATGTTATAAGTATTTTTGTCTATACTTCAAATTTCTAAACAAAAACAATATAATCTCTCTTACTGAGAGAGATTATATTTATTTTCACACACACACACACACCCAAACAGCTGTGCCAAATACTTATGAGTGCAGAGACAAGATTGACCTTGGCATCCTTCTAATCTATGAACTTCCAGATTCCAAAGGCTGATCCTTGCCTTTCCTGCATAGAAAAAGAATAGAAGCATGGTTCCCCTACAAATATTAACACTTTCTTTGACATGGGAAACCTACTACCCCACCTAAAATATGCTGGTAGTAGCAAGTACTATGTATTTGCATTAATTATGACCAGTACTAAGGAAAACACTATTAGATACTAAAGCTGAACCTGAATAGCGGCAAGATACCCACCTCTATCTACAACTGGACAGATGTCTGCACTTTATCCTATCAAATATAGACCCACCCACAATGTTCCACATATTCATTACTTCAAAGGTTGATAATTTCAACTCGTATCTTGGAATGAAGACACCAATCTAAAACGCTACCTCCTACAAAATCCGAAGATACGGTATCTATTCTGCTTAGTAACAGTTTACCACAAACATCTGCTTTCTGAATTCATTGTGGAACTAATGAAAAGTTCAGTTCAAGGTCTCTGTCTTCATATTCAAAGCCCTTCTAAAGTGACCATGAACTCCTACAATAGCTGTGTACAACCAGAACAATGAAACCGATGACCACCAGTAGAACACTTGAACACATGGAAACAAAATTTTCATAGCAGCTGGATCTAAACTATGAAACTTGTTCCAGCAAGGTAGAAGAATTATCACAGACTTCACCACTTTAAGAGCTCATTTCTTCAACTTAGTTTTTCCTCAAAAAGTTCTTCAGTCACACAAAAAAGCGCATTTACACAATGACAAATAAAAACAATTCTGAGAGTTAATCAAGCTATTTATTTTACTGGCTGAGAAAGGAGACTAAGTTTGTTGTATTTCAATTTAAAAGATACTTAGGTACAATGATGACCGGGTCAGTGTTGATAAACAAAAAGTGAGAACTCTGTTATTCTCCGACAATTATATCAATTCAAAAAATATGTTCATGCAATCTACTTAAGAGTTCAAACCCACACAAGAGTTAGGTGTTCAAAGTTAAGGTTTCTGCAGCAATTATAACTCAACTCCCTTGTGCATATGCATTACTTCAGACTGTATATGCTGTTACACACACAAATACAGACATGCATGAGTGCACACAGCAAGACAGAATTATGATAGCTTCAGTATCCACAACTATGGTGTCACAGGGTCGATGGCTCCTTTAAGGTGAATCCAGGCCGAGGTTACCCATGACAAGTTAATTTAAGGGGAACAAGCCTATCTAGGTAGCTGAGTAACAAGCACCTCAGCCTGAAAATGGCCATCAGGCTCAGTTACAGAGAGGTGTTCACAGAGAGAGGAGCTCTCCTACTAGAGAGGAGCTCCCAGAGAATCACAGGCCCTGAGGAGGAGGGCTATGCAATCCCTGAGTCCTAGGACAGAGACTTGATTTTAAGTTTATTTGTATTTAATGAAGTAGGATCCCAGCAGGGGAATTCGTCTTACACTTTGTTGGACCTGTGTGGAGTTCTTAAGGAGCCCTGAAAGAAGGGAAATGGAGGGAGGGAGGGTGTGCCTGCAAGGCTCCTCCCCACCCCAGGCAAGCAGGGGTCCCTACAGGGGAGGCACACCCTGTAACATATGGATTTGTTTATATTTACACAGTTCGGTCAACTATAACATTGCAACAATATAGCTTTTTCATTTTATATTTTCAAAAAGCAAATGTTAAATTACACACAGTGAGATTCAGAATGTATTAAAAACCTATCCTAGGAAAAAGATACAATACAAGTGTAAAGTATTATTAGAAATAGTATCAATTATTACAAAAGTTTTAAAGAAACAGACTTTATTTTCTATTGTACATAAAGTAAAGGGTTTGTTTCCTGATCATTTTTCAAATGCATTGTGAATCTTGCATCGCTGTGTTCATATCAATGTGCAATCACTGAACTGGGGTATGTTTTTTGTCTTTTTTAAAAATAAATACTAAAAGCTATATTAATGGAGAAGTCAACATGAGAGAGGAGCAGAAGTTGCCATTCCTCCCCAGAGGTTACTCAGAACACTACCAACATCTCCCTAATTTTCATCGCAGAAAATTGAGATGTTTTAAGGGCAAACTCTTGCCTTTGCAGAGACAAGTGTGTGTGTGTGCGCACACACACACACGTGTATGTTTGGTTTGTTTCTAAAAGAGAAATTTAAGTTTTCCTGTGGTGGTTTTCACTATAAAAAGGGACAACTGTTTTTCCTAAAACATAGTTTTTCCTAGAACGTTCAAAATATGGTTGTGTGTGTCATTGAACTCAGTCTACCTACTGGTTATAGTCCAAAACTTCCTCCTTCCCATTTCCTCTGAAACTAAAATGACAAGATACTAGATATGTTGTTTGCAGTGTTGTTATAGCCGTGTTGTCCCAGTATATGAGAGAAACAAAGTTGGTGAGGTAATATCTTTTAATGGACTAACTTTCATTAATGGAAGAGAGAAGCTTTCAAGCTGCACGGAGCTCTTCTTCAGGTCTGGAAAAAGTAATCAGTGTCACAGCTAAATACAAGGTGGGACAGATAGTTAAGCATAAGGCATTAGATACTAAAACTGATAGAAAATATAACTGACTGATCTACAAGAGAGCTAGGATCCTGAAAATTATGCTATTGTAAAGCCTTAGATATTGTACAATTCACAGCATTTCATAAAAAATGCAGCTTATTTGGATAACACTCATTTATATGATGCTATTTATTTGCATACTCATCCCACAAACTCATAGTAAGTACAAAACAAAGCAAAAGCAAAATAGGAGTTTATGTATTATTTTGCCCTTTATAGTTTGTTTTTACTTTAAAGTGGTTAAGATATAAAGCAATGTATGCCCTGATCTGATATGCATGTTGTCTTTAAAATGCTTTAAAATTACAGCAACAGCTTAGAGCCTTAATGGAAGGCCCCTGGGGCATATTTAAATATTTAATAACAGTTTTTCTTTAAATTTGCATATTTCCATTATAAACAACTCAAGTTGTTGAATATTACGCTAATGTAAACATGAGGTTGATGAATCTGAAATCTCACATTTACATATTCTCTAAAAATAGTTTTCTTCTAATTTTGTTTTCAATTATAATTTTAAAAAATTAATTTCCAGACCTACCACTTGCACTCATAGCTGCTTCAAATGCTGCCATAATGATATATGTCTGCACATAGACTTTGAAGACAAAAGGCTAAGTTAATGCAATGTTAAGCATACAAATGTTAAGAAAGGTCTCAGCTAAAGCTGAATATGTAAACTTCATTCTGCCACTATAATGTCTCAATTACTTAATACAGTTTTCCTTAATTACCTATGGCTAGGTCTACACTACCCGCCTGAATCGGCGGGTAGAAATCGACCTCTCGGGGATCGATTTATCGCGTCCCGTCGGGACGCGACAATCGATCCCCGAATCGACGCTCTTACTCCACCAGCGGAGGTGGGAGTAAGCGCCATCGACAGGAAGCCGCAAAGGTCGATTTTGCCGCCGTCCTCACAGCGGGGTAAGTCGGCTGCGATACGCCGAATTCAGCTACGCTATTCACGTAGCTGAATTTGCGTATCTTAAATCGACTCCCCCCCGTAGTGTAGATGTAGCCTATGTAGCATTTTGTTGTGTCCCCACAACTCTCACACTTATTCTATTTATTTTTATTGACTTTCCCTTTTTATAAAGTTCTCTTCCCTCTAAAATAATGCAAATTAATTTGTCAGTACACATGTACTATATCAACAGTACTAAAATTATGATCCCAGATAAATGGTATTTTAAAATGGTGATTGGTTGTGTACCAATGAGTATACTGTAATTATATATATCACACACACACACACACCATCTTTCATCCAAAAAATGTTCAAACGGACTCACTTTTCCAGTAGTGTAAGGCTCCGATTTCTAATCCAGCAGGATCACAAGATTTTTGTGTGAATGAAGAACTTTTTGAGGGAAAACTAAGTGTCTGCTCACTGGAAGCCTACTAGGGCTCCCAACACTGCTAATGCTCGGAACACTGATCTGGAGTTAGAGAGTGGATAGCATGTGTCTTTACATCAGCAGTACATCTTAATCCACAGAAGACAACCTAGAAATCAATATACCATCTCAATTTACCAAACATGCTGTGATAAGTGAAGGGGGTGGGGAGTAGCTCCCTTTTATGGACACCCAGCCAGCCAGTTAGCTATAAAGACCTTCTTGGTGGCTGTTCTCTGCTTGCTTTACCTATAAAGGGTTAATAAAGTTACCAGGTAAAGGAAAGGGAGTGGGCACCTGACCAAAAGAGCCAATGGGAAGGCTAGAACTTTTTAAAATGGGGAAAAAAAACTTCCCTTTTGTGTCTGTTGTGTTCTCTGGGAAAGAGAGGAACAGGGAGCAGTTATGCTATGAGAAGTTTTAAGCCAGGTATGATTATAAATCATCAGATCATACCTAGAACTACTTATTTGGAACTCCCAAATGTGTAAGTAGATAGAGAATGTTTAGAAAAACGCGAGTAGGTTTATTTCTGTTTATTTCTTGGCTTGTGGACTCCTCTGTGCTAACCCCAAATGCTTTTGTTCTGCTTGTAACCTTTAAGCTGAACCTCACAAAATTTAAACATCAAGAATAATCTTCTTAAGTGGGTTTTTTAAATCTAGCAGAAGCCTAAGTTCCAGATGTATTTTCTTTCTTTTTGTTTTTAATAAAATTTACCTTTTTCAAGAACAGGATTGGATTTTTGGTGGCCTAAGAGGTTTGTGCATAT